TGAGGAAGGGTCACTGGACCCGAAACGTTATCTCTGTTTTGTCCTTCACAGATGCTGCCAGACCTGCTGAGCTTTTCCAGCAACTTTGTTTTTGTTGGAAACTGAAGAAGCTGTGAGAAAACATTTTCAAATATCTTGTAGGACTGGCAGATTACACCGATTGGACAAACTGACATTCTTTCATTCAGAAAAGGGAAGACTAATAGAGATTTTTTAAATTATGGGAGGTTTTGATAGAGTCAATGTAGAGAAGATGCTGGCATTTCTTGAGGGAGTCCAAAACCTGGTACTTTAAGCATGAGCTGTTGATGTGCTACAGCTCACTCAGGGAGCATAGGTTGCTCTGGCAATATATACTTTCCCATGGATAGAAACATAGAAAATAGGAGCAAGAGTAGGCCATTCAGCCCTTCAAGCCTGCACCACCATTCAATATAATCATGGCTGATCGTGCAATCTCAGTATCCCATTCCCGCTTTCTCTCCAGACCCCTTGATCCCTTTAGCTGATCCCTCTTGAATGTATCTAACAAGCTGGCCTCAACAGCTTCCTGTAGTAGAGAATTACACAGGTTCAGAACTCTGTGAGTGAAGAAATTCTTCCTCATCTCAGTCCTGAATGGCTTACCCCTTATTCTTCGACTGTGACCCCTAGTTCTGGACTTCCCCAACATTGGGAACATTCTTCCTGCATCTAACCTATCCTGTCCCATCAGGATGTTATATGTTCCTATGAGATCCCCTCTCATTCTTCTAAATTCCTTTGAGTACAAGCCGAGTCGATCCAATCTTCCTTCATATGTTAGTCCTGACATCCCGGGAATCAGTCGACTAAACCTTTGCTGGACTCCCTCAATAGCAAGAATGTTCTTCCTCAGATTAGGAGACCAAAACTGCACACAATACTCAAGGTGTGGCCTCACCAAGGCTCTATATAACTGCAGCAAGGCATCCTTACTCCGATACTCAAATCCTGTCGCTACGACGTCTAGTATACCATTAGCTTTCCTAACCGTCTGGATGTTGTAGTCTGGAGCAATGGATAGTAATAGTAGAGACTTCAATATTCTTTCCATCAAACAGCTGACCTACCTGCCATTGCTGATAATCAAACTGTTTGGTGGTGTTACCACATCGTTGGGTCCTGGGACGGGATTTGAACCTACAACTTCCAGCTTCGGAGCTGGGATGCTGCCTATGGTGCCACAAGACCTCCTATCCACTGTGAGTCAGTAATAAATCCAATATGGAATTCAGGGCAAGCTTCTTTTTGCAATCAGTCATGAGAAAATGGAACTCACTACCACAAGGAGTGTTTTAGCCAAATAACAGCGGTCTGTTTAGGGGAGGTTAAATAAGTATATGAGGGAGAAGGGAATAGAAGGTTCGACTGATAGGGTTAGATGAAAAGGGAGGGATGCAGTTCGTGTGAACTGTAAATGCTGGGCTGAATGGACCGTATCTAAGTGAATTCTATGGAATTTAACGTGTTTGTTAGTGTTCAGACCAACTGACCCTGAACAGTCAATTGTGATCAGTGCTCCATACAATGGTTTATACATTAAACAGTGGGTGAGGGTTGGAGGAAGTGACTAAGTAGCTTACTGAGATCTGAATGAATTTGCAAGGATCACCAAGTTTTAAGGAGCCATTTAAAACCAAGTCCAGCTTCCTGTTTTGACATGTTTCATTGAGTGTTTTCAACAACAATCATTGTTTTTCACGAGACTTGCCTCGAATTTTGATGACCTTACACATTCCATTACTTGTCAACCATCAATGCAAAAGCAAAGACCCACACTGGGAACTCAGGTTTGAAAGGAATTGATCTGTCCACTGACTCCAATTATCTTATCAGTCAGGAATACTACAATTATTAACTATCGTTCAACATTAAATGCTCCTGCCTTACAAATATCCAACATTTTGATATTAATTATTGCAGGATGGCTTTGCGGGAGTAGCGTGTGAGAAATGTGCCAAAGAGACCTCATACGGACCTGACTGTTCTTCTGGTGAGATATAAAGTTTTATGCATTTGTTCATTTGTTCTTGGGATGTGGGCATCACTGGCATGGCCAGCCTATATTACCCATTTCTAGCTGTCCTTCAGAAGGTGGTGGTGAGCTGCCTTCTTGAATAGCTGTGGTCCATGTGTGTATGGGTAGTACAGCTTGGGAGGGAGTTCCAGAATGTTAACTCAGTGACGATGAAGGAACAGTGATATATTTCCAAGTCACTTTGGTGTTTGGTACGAAGCGGAACGTGCATGTGAATATATTCTCTTGCATCTGCTGCCCTTGTCAGTCTGGGCAGTAGTGGTCATGGCTTTAGAAGGTGATGAAGAAACCTTGGTCAAATTTTGCAGTACATCTTGTAGATAGATGGTACACACTATTACTACTGTGCATTTGCTGTGGAGGGTCTGAATGCTTAAGCTAGTAGATAGGTACCTACCAAGCAGCTGCTTTGTCTAGGAAGATGTCAAGCTTCTTGAGTGATGTTGGAGCTGCACTCATCCAGGCAAATAGGGAGCATTCCATCACACTCCTGACTTGTGCCTTATAGATGATGGGGGTGAGTCAGTTACTACAGAATTCCTAGTCTTTGAGCTCAGTGCCTCAAGTGGCAATCTAAACATGAAAGGTAATAAATGTTCATAATATATAAACACAGAAAATGTTGGGAAAACTCAGCAAGTAAAAGACTTTTTAGAGTAAGAGAGGTAACAAGTTTTAAAAAAATGAAAAGGTGAGGGGAGGAAAGAGCAAAAAGGAAGAACTATGGAGATGCTGGAGAGTATAATTGAATGACAAACGGATGGCGCATGGCAAAATGATGATGGAACCAGTAAAAGATACAGAAGATAGGTATAGAGCATGTGCAAGTCACAATGCAGATCCAATACCAGATCCAGAATGTGGATTGCTGGATGTGTCAGATGTGGTGTGGTTGATAGCACTTTAGTCTCTGAATGTTAAGTTCTGAGACCAAATCCCAATTCAGGCCTTGAATGCAACAATCAATAGTGGCACTGCAGTGTAACACTGACAGTGTGGTGGGAATGCTGTCTTTCAGATGTGATGTTAAGCTGATGCACTGATGCCCCCTCAGGAGGGTATAAAAGATTCCCTGGCTCTATCTAATGAAAAGCAATGGAGCTATCCTCAATGTCCTGGCCAACATTTACCCCTCAATTAAATGATCTGTTCACTGCTACATTTTACGGTTTATGGGATCACTTTGTGCACAAATGGTCTGTGATATTTCCTGCAAACTGTAACCATGCTTCAGAAGTGCTTTGAGACATCCAGTGAGTGCAAACCTTCCTCTTTGTCCCAACCTTGAGACTGAAGGTTTGTAAAGGGTCTCATTGGAACATGAGGTGTCACGACTTGACCCTCAAAAGTAACCATGTTAAAATTGGAATTTCTGAGTGTGAGAGAGTATGTTTCCAATTATCCCCATGTAAGAGATTGAGAACAGTGTCCAGAGCTAGGCCCAACTGGCATTCCAACCTGTTTCAGATGGCCCATTAAATTCCATTTGGAGAGTTCTTCCTCAAACGATCCATTTGCCTCAAGTGAAACATCACTTGGAAATTTTTTTTTTGGTGCCTTTGACAGGAAAATTGTGAGCTAATGTGAATCCCTTTTGAGACCTTCTGTAGGCCTCATGCCTTTACAAGATTCAGATGTCAACTCTCCAGGGATTTCCAGGAATTGACCATAAATCTGCTGAACATTGTTGCAAGTAACACTTGGAGGAATATAATAGGCCCTTAGAAAACAGGCTAATTTGCTGATCAGCTGTGAGGAGGCAGGGCACTGTGAGGTTGGACATGCAAGAGGACTAAGAGTGGATGTGCTTGGCTGGGAGGCCTGAGGTGGGAGTCACCATAATAATGTAATCACCATAAGTATGGCCAAGCAGAGGTTGAAACCCCATTATTAGACCAAGCTAACCGATGCTGATGGGGGATTCTTTACTTGCTCCAGAAATAGCCTCGTTGTGGTGCAATCGAGGACTTGACAACAATTTGGGCAGGGCTCAAAAATAATTTGGATGCAATCATTCTGATAGACTATAGACACTCCCAAAAGCCACCAAGACATTGAGGAATATATATATGTAGGCAGCTTATGGAAAGGTGCAATAAAAACGAAGTTGTCATAGTGGTGACTTTAACTTCCCCAATATTGACTGGAACTCCCTTAGAGCAAGAGGCTTAGACGGGACAGAACTTGTTAAACCCATCCAAGAGAGTTTCTTGAAACAGTATGTGGATAGTCCAACTAGAGGAGGGGCCATACTGGATCTTGTAATGGCTAATGAGCGTGGCCAGGTGACTGACCTTTCAGTGGGACAGCATTTTGGAAACAGTGATCACAAATCCTTAAAGTTAGCTATGAACAAGAATAGATCAGGACCTTGTGGAAAGGTACTAAATTGGGGAAGGGCAAATTACATCAGTATTAGGCAGGAGTGTTAATTAAGAGGGGCTGTTATCAGTCAAGTCCACATTTGACATGTGGGAACTGTTTAATGACCTGCTGGGGAGAGTTCAAGACTGGCATGTTCCAATAAGGAGGAAGGATAAGGATGGCAAGGTAAGGGACACTTGGATAATGAGGGAGGTTGTGAATTTAGTCAAAAGGAGAAAAGAAACATATGTAAGGTTTAGGAAGCTAAAATCAGACAGGGCCTGTGAGGAATATGAGGAAAGCAGGAATGTACTCAAGCAGGGAATTAGGAGGACAAGAAGGGGCCATGAAATGACCTTGGTAAGTAGGGTTAAAAAGAATCCCAAGGCATTCTATAGATACTTTAAAAACAAGATGATAACTAGGGAGAAGCTAGGACCATTCCATGACAAGGGAGGGAACTTGTCCTTGGAGACAGAGAATGTGGGTGAGATCCTATATGAGTACTTTGCATCAGTATTCACTCAGGACAAGGATATGGAGTATAGGGAGATTAGTGTGGAGCACGCTAATATGCTAGGGCATTTTCAGATCAAGAAAGAAGTGGTGTTAGATATTTTGAAGAGCATTAAGGTGGATAAATATCCAGGGCCCGATGGTATCTATTCCAGGTTATTATTAAAAAAGGCAAGGGAGGAGAGGCATTGACCAAGACCTTTGTATCCTCACTAGCCACTGGAGAGGTCCTGGAGGACTGGCAAGTAGTTAACGTTATTCATCTGTTCAAGAAGGAAAATAGGGGTAATCCAAGAAACTATAGACCAGTGAGTCTCACATCACTGATTGGGAAGCTATTGGGAAGAATTCTTAGGGATAGGATTTATGGGGAGGTTGGTGGATTTGTGTATAGTGTAGAAGGTTGTCAAAGGATACAGCAGGAGATAGATCAGTCGCAAATATGGGAGGAAAAATGACAGATGAAGTTTAATCTGGGTAAGTGTGAGGTGTTGCATTTTGAGAGATCAAATGTTAAGGAAAAGTACACAGTTAATGGCAGGACTCTGAACAGCATTGATGTACAGAAGGATCTTGGGGTTCAAGTCCATAGCTCCCTGAAAGTGGCAGCGCAAGTAGACAGGGCGGCAAAGAAGGCATGTGGCATGCTTGCCTTTATTGGTCAGGGAATTAAGTACAAGATTTAGGATGTCATGTTGCAGCTTTAACTTAGAGTATTGTCTTCAATCCTGGTCATCACATTACAGGAAGGATGTGAAGGCTTTGCAGAGGGTTCAAAACAGGTTTACCAGGATGCTGCCTGGATTAGAAGGTATGAGCTAAAAGGAGAGTCTAGGGTTGTTTTCTCTTCAGTGGCGGAGGCTAAGGGGGGACTTGATAGATGTCTATAAAATTATGAGATGCATAGATAGAGTTGATGGTCAGAATCTTTTACTCAAAGTTAAAATGTTGAATACAAGGGGGCATTCACTTAAGGTGGGGGTTGGGTGGGAATTCAAAGCAGATGTGAGGGGTTTTTTTATGCAGAGAGTAGTAGGGGTCTGGAACGTACTGCCAGGGGTAGTGGTGGAGGCAGATACAATAGGAGCATTTAAGGGACTTTTAGATAAGCACATGAATATGCAAGGAATAGAGGGATTTGGACCAAGGGCAGGCAGAAGGGATTAGTTTAATTTGGCATCATGTTTGACACAACACATGGGCCAAAAGGCCCATTACTGTGTTGTACAGTTCTATGTTCTATGGTCTATGTTCTAACACCTGGTTTTTGCATCTGTTTCTTCAGTCCCTTTGAGTGTCTTCAGGGGTTCAGAGTGGCATAAAGTTAATCACTGTTAACGTTTAAGAGACAGTAGAGTGAGAAATGTCATAAAAACTGTAAAATATTGCATCTATCTCTGTAGTTTCAAAGGACATCGATCTCTTCCTTTTGCAGAGTGTGAATGTGTTCATGGAGACTGCAACAGTGGAATTGCAGGCGATGGCACATGCACGTGTTATTCAGGCTACACAGGAGCTAAGTGTGATGAGCGTAAGTACTATACAAGGATATGTTACAGTAAGAACATCACATATCAAAATTGTATCTATGAAAAGTAATATTTGTGGGGCACATTTTACTTCAGTGTCTATTCTTAGTTAAAAAAACAACTCAAGGACCAATGTGTAGTATATTGAACTGGACTCTGTTTAAGTGGTGTGCGAATTTTTATCTCTGGATAATTGTCTGACATTGTTAATAGTCTTGAGTACAAAGTTACGTCATTTTGGGGTCACCCACAAGTTTACTTAAGGCTGGAGCCCACATTATTGGTTAGCATTACATTCGTTCTGCTAATGTGAAGCCAGATTCACAGAGTACAGGAGCAGTGCAAGACCAAGAGAAGATAGTGTCATTTGATAACACAGTGTGGAGCTGGAGGAACACAGCAGGCCAGGCAGCATCAGAGGAGCAGGAAAATTGATGTTTCCGGTCGGGACCCTTCTTCAGAAATGGGGGAGGGGGAAGGCAGCTCTGAAATAAATAGAGAGAGGAGGGGTGGGGCTGGGGAAGGTAGGTGGGATGGTGATACGTGAGTGTAGATAGGCAGTGGTGGGGATTGGTCAGTGAGGTGGGAGGAGCGGGGAGGTGGGAGAGAAGATGGACAGGTTGTGTCAGGTCAAGGAGGTGGGGATGAGAGGGAGGGTTGGTCATGGGATGAGGTCGGGGGTTGGGGAGATTTTGAAACTAGTAACGTCCAGATTTAGGCCATTGGGTTGTAGGCTCCCTACTGAGACTCCCTGAATACCATGTGTTCTAACTTTTTTTACGAAACTTAAATTCTTACTTAATTTTATTTAATTAGACAAAGTTGTCAAATCTTTGGCAGGATAGAGAGGGAGGTAAAAGGGGTGGAGGAGTTGCATTACTGGTCAAAGATGATATCACAGCTGTGCTGAAGAAGGGCACTATGGAGGACTCGAGCAGTGAGGCAATATGGGCAGAGCTCAGAAATAGGAAGGGTGCAGTAACAATGTTGGGGCTGTACTACAGGCCTCCCAACAGCGAGCGTGAGATAGAGGTACAAATATGTAGACAGATTATGGAAAGATGTAGGAGCAACAGGGTGGTGGTGATGGGAGATTTTAATTTTCCCAACATTGACTGGGATTCACTCAGTGTTAGGGGTTTAGATGGAGCAGAAATTGTAAGGAGCATCCAGGAGGGTTTTCGAGAGCAGTATGTAAATAGTCCAACTTGGGAACGGGCCGTACTGGACCTGGTGTTGGGGAGTGAGCCTGGCCAGGTGGTTGAAGTTTCAGTATGGGGTTTACTTTGGGAATAATGATCACAGTTCCGTAAGTTTTAGAATACTCATGGACGAAGACGAGAGTGGTCCTAAAGGAAGAGTGCTAAATTGGGGAAAGGCAAACTATAGCAAAATTCGGCAGGAGCTGGGGAATGTGGATTGGGAGCAGCAGTTTGAGGGTAAATCCACATTTGATATGTGGGAGGTTTTAAAGAGAGGTTGATTAGAGTGCAGGACAGACATGTCCCTGTGAAAAAGGGGGATAGAAAGGGCAAGATTAGGGAACCATGGATGACAGGTGAAATTATGAGACTAGCAAAGAGAAAAAAGGAAGCATACATAAGGTCTAGGCGACTGAAAACAGACAAAGCTTTGGAAGAATATCGGCAAAGTAGGACTAATCTGAAACGAGGAATTAAGAGGGCTAAAAGGGGTCATGAAATATCTTTAGCAAACAGGGTTAAGGAAAATCCCAAAGGCTTTTATTCGTATGTAAGGAGCAAGAGAGTAACTAGAGAAAGGGTTGGTCCACTCAAGGACAAAGGAGGGAAGTTATGTGAGGAGTCAGAGAAAATGAGTGAGATTCTTAATGAGTACTTTGTGTCGGTATTCACCGAGAAGAGGGATATGATGGATGTCGAGGTTAGGGATAGATGTTTGATTACTCTAGGTCAAGTTGGCATAAGGAGGGGGGGAAGTGTTGGGAATTCTAAAAGGCATTAGGGTGGACAAGTCCCCAGGTCCGGATGGGATCTATCCTAGGTCACTGAGAGAAGCGAGAGAGGAAATAGCTGGGGCCTTAACAAATATACTTGCAGCATCCTTGAGCACAAGTGAGGTCCCGGAGGACTGGAGAATTGCTAATGTTGTCCCCTTGTTTAAGAAGGGTAGCAAGGATAATCGAGGAAATTATAGACCGGTGAGCCTGACGTCAGTGGTGGGGAAGCTGCTGGAGAAGATACTGAGGGATAGGATCTATTTACATTTGGAAGAAAATGGGCTTATTAGTGACAGGCAGCATGGTTTTGTGCGGGGAAGGTCATGTCTTACCAACCTGATAGAATTCTTTGAGGAAGTGACAAAGTTGATAGACAAGGGAAGGGCTGTAGATGTCATATACATGGATTTCAGTAAGGCGTTTGATAAGGTTCCCCATGGTAGGCTGATGGAGAAAGTGAAGTCGCATGGGGCCCAGGGTGTACTAGCTAGATGGATAGAGAACTGGCTGGGCAACAGGAGACAGAGAGTTGTAGTGGAAGGAAGTTTCTCAAAATGGAGAACTGCGACCAGTGGTGTTCCACAGGGATCTGTGTTGGGACCACTGTTGTTTGTGATATACATAAATGATCTGGAGGAAGATATAGATGGTCTGATTAGCAAGTTTGCAGATGACACTAAGATTGGTGGAGTAGCAGATAGTGAAGGGGACTGTTGGAGAATACAGCAGAATATAGATAGATTGGAGAGTTGGGCACAGAAATGGCAGATGGAGTTCAATCCAGGCAAATGCGATGTGATGCATTTTGGAAGATCCAATTCAAGAGTGAACTATATGGTAAATGGAAAAGCCCTGGGGAAAATTGATGCGCAAAGAGATCTGGGTGCTCAGGTCCATCGTACCCTGAAGGTGGTAACGCAGGTCGATAGAGTGGTCAAGAAGGCATATGGCATGCTTTCATTCATCGGACGGGGTATTGAGTACAAGAGTTGGTAGGTCATGTTACAGTTGTATAGGACTTTGGTTCGACCACATTTGGAATACTGCGTACAGTTCTGGTCGCCACATTACCAAAAGGATGTGGATGCTTTGGAGAGGGTGTAGAGGAGGTTCACCAGGATGTTACCTGGTATGGAGGGCGCTAGCTATGGAGAGAGGTTGAGTAGATTAGGATTATTTACATTAGAAAGACGGAGGTTGAGGGTGGACCTGATTGAGGTCTACAAAATCATGAGAGGTATAGACAGGGTGGATAGCAAGAAGCTTTTTCCCGGAGTGGGAGACTCAATTACTAGGGGTCACGATTTCAAGGTGAGAGGGGAAAAGTTTAAGGGAGATATGCGTGGAAAGTTCTTTACGCAGAGGGTGGTGGGTGCCTGGAACATGTTGCCAGTGGAGGTGATAGAGGCGGGCATAATAGCGTCATTTAAGATGTATCTAGACAGATGCATGAATGGGCAGGGAACAGAAGGATACAGATCCTTGGAAAATAGGCAACAGGTTTAGATAGAGGATCTGGATCAGCGCAGGCTTGGAGGGCCGAAGGGCCTGTTCCTGTGCTGTAATTTTCTTTGTTCTTTGTTCTTTATTCTTTTGATAGTTCTTCTTGAGGTAATAATTTTACTTCCCAATTTTATCTGGGCAGTGCATTGCTGATAAAAAATGCATTTGATCTGTTCTCCAACTTGATCTCTTCTCTGCCATCTACTCCATTCCAACCTTCGTTGAATGGCAGGGCAAATTCGATGAGCCTACGTCTGCTCCTACTTCTCATGGTTTCTCACTGGATGCAAAAGATCCCCAAACACTTTTTGAAAAAGAGCTAGGGACTTCCCTCAGTGTCCTGGCCAAATATATCCCTCAGCAAACACCTTTGATGTTATGTCGTTTTGGGTAACCCACAAGTTTACTTAAGGCTGGAGCCCACATTATTGGTTAGCATTACATTCGTTCTGCTAATGTGAAGCCAGATTCACAGAGTACAGGAGCAGCGCAAGACCAAGAGAAGATAGTGTCACTTGACAACACAGTGTGGAGCTGGAGGAGCACAGTGTGCCAGGCAGCATCAGAGGAGCAGGAAAGTTGACGTTTCAGATCGGGACTCTTCTTCAGAAATGGGGGAGGAGGAGCTCTGAAATAAATAGAGAGAAGAGGGGGTGAGGCTGGGGAAGGTAGGTGGATGCAAAAGACCCCCAAACACTTTTTCAAAAAGAGCTAGGGACTTCCCTCAGTGTCCTCATATCCCTCAGCTAACACCTTTGGAAAATCTTTGCTTGGGGAAAAGTGGTGTTTGCAAAAAATTGGTTGCCACAATTCTTACATTACATTAATAGCCAGATTGGAAATAAAAGTACAAACTGACTAGTTGTTTATGGTGCTATATTAATGTAAGTTCATTCCCTCTCTCATACACTATCCAAAACAATAGAACAACTTGCATTTAGACAATACATTTAACATAGTAACATGCCCTGACACTTTCCACAATAGTGTTACCGAATGATACTTTACATCAGGCCATATAAGTAGCACTGACAGCCAAATGTTTGTCGTTCAAAGAGGTGATTTTTAAGGAGTTTTTACCAGGATGCTGCCTGGATGGAGGGCAGGTCTTATGAGGAAAGGTTGAGGGAGCTAGGGGTTTTCTCATTGGAGCAAAGAAGGATGAGAGGTGACTTGATAGAGGTGTACAGGATAATGAGAGGCATAGATAGAGTGGATAGTCAGAGACTTTTTCTCAGGGCGGAAATGACTATTATGAGGGAGCATAATTTTAAGGTGATTGGAGGAAGGTATAGGGGAGATGTCAGAGGTAGGTTCTTCACACAGAGCGTGGTGGGCGTGTGGAATGCGCTGCCGGCAGTGGTAGTGGAGTCAGATACATTAGGGACATTTAAGCGACTCTTGGATAGGCACATGGATGATAGTAAAATGTAGGGTATGCAGGGTAGTTTGATCTTAGAGTAGGATAACAGGTTGGCACAACATCATGGGCCAAAGGGCCTGTACTGTGCTGTACTGTTCTATGTTCTATGACTGTCTTACAGTCGGAAAGAAAGGTAGAGAAAGTGGACTGAGGGCAGCACGGTGGTTCAGTGGTTAGCACTGCTACCTCACAGCACCAAGGACCTGGGTTCGATCCCACCCTCGGGCAACTGTCTGTGTAAAGTTTGCACATTCTCCCTGTGTCTATGTGGGTTTCTGCTGGGTGCTCCAGTTTCCTCCCACAGTCGAAAAATGTGCAGGTTAGATGGATTGGCCATGCTAAATTGCCTATAGTGTCCAGGCTAGGTGGGTTAGCCATGGGAAATGCAGAGATAGGATAGGGGGATGGGTCTGGGTGGGATGCTATTCAGAGGCTTGGACAGTGTGAACCCATAGGGGTTCTATGGTATGACTGGTTTAGAGAGTGAATTTAAGAGTGCAGGGGTCTGGGCAGCAGAATGAAAAATGCCTCCAGTTATGGAGTGGTTAAAATCAGGGCTGCTCAAGAGGTTAGAACAGACACAAGAAACCACTGGAATCTCTGCAACATTTCTGTTGTATTTACAAAGTGTGTCAAGTCTCTTTCTTGATCTTTGAAGCCATACCTGCTTGTCGGGCATTACAATGCCCAGAAAATACAAGATGTTCTGAAGAAGCAACAACTGGAAAGTTGGTGTGTGAATGTTTACCTGGTTATCATACCCAAGGGAGCACAAAATGTGAACGTAAGTCCTCATTATGTTATTGACTACAAGTGAATGTGTTTAACATTCCATTTTTTTAAAATAACCATCCCATTAATAATTGGGAAAAGCTCTAAAAGAACTGTGGATACTGGAAATCAGAAACACAAACATAAATTGCTGGAAAAACTCAGCAGGCCTGGCAGCATCTGTGGAGAGAAATCAGTGTCAATGTTTCCGGTCCAGAAGAGTTAACTCTTATTCCTCTCCACAGGTGCCGCTAGACCTGCTGAGTTTTTCCAGCAATTTATGTTTTTGTTTCCATTAATAATTGGGTTTAGTTATTTTGATTGTACTAGAACATTTTAGAACTAGTAACATCTGCGCCACACAAATACCAGGCAATAACCATCTCCAATAAGAGACAATCTGACCACCGCCCCTTGACATTCAATGGTGTTACCATCACTGAATCCCCTACTATCAACATCCTGGGGGTTACCATTGTGCAGAAACTCACTGGACTCACCATGTAAACACAGTGGCTACAAGAACAGGTCAGAGGCCAGGAATACTGTGGTGAGTAACTCACCTCCTGACTCCCCAAAGCCTGCCCACCATCTACAAGGTCAGGAGTGCGATGGAATACTCCCCACTTGCCTGGATGAGAGCAGCCCCAGTAGCAGTCAAGACATTTGACACCATCCAGGACAAAGCAGCCCTCCTGATTGGGACTACATCCACTATGAATCCACTCCCTCCACCCTTGATGCTCAGTAGCAGCAGTGTGTACTATCTACAAGATGCACTGCAGAAATTCACCAAGGTTCCTCAGACAGCACCTTCCAAACCCACGACCACTTCCATCTAGAAGGTCAAGGGCAGCAGATATATGGGAACACCACCACCTTCAAGTTCCCCTCCAAGCCACTCACCATCCTGAATTGGAAATATATCGCTGTTCCTTCACTGTCACTGGGTCAAAATCCTGAAATTCCTTCCCTGGAGGTGCATTATAGGTCACCTACAGCAATGGACTGCAGTGGTTCAAAAAGGCAGCTCACCACCATCTTGTAAAGGGCAACTAGGGATAGGCAATAAATGCTGGCCCAGCCAGCGATGCTCACATGGCACAGTGAATTTAAAAAAAGTGAACATGAAGCAATGAATGAGCTCATAGAGAGGAATTAACTCATTGTTTAGCCATGGCTTGTTTGTAATCAGTTTGGCCCTGAATTATGGAGTTCTGGGTTCTATCAGCACTCCAGGAGTTGAGCTCAAAAGTCCAGGCTGACAGTCCATGCAGAACTGAAGGAGTGCTATGCCGCTGGAGATGGATTAGACAATAAATCAACACTCTTCCAAATGAATGTCACTGTTTTAAAGGTGTTCTCCCCAGTGTCCTGATCAATACTTATCCTTGACCCAGACCACAGAAACAGATGGTCATTATCACATTGTTGTTTGTTGAATCTTGCTGTGTATAAATTGCTTGCTGCATTTCCTACATTGCAACAAAACTACACTTTAAAAAGTACTTTGTTGGCTGTGAAACGCTTTGTGAGACTTTGGTGGTTGTGTAAAGTGTTATAGAAATGCAAGCCTTCCTTTTTTTTGTCTAAGTAGGCAGGCAGATTTAGCTCAACGTAACAGCTTGATGCCGGATGCGGACAAAAGGAATTAAATGTAAGCAACAATTTTTTTCTTTCAGCCATTAATCCTTGTCTTCAGAATCCCTGTGGCTCCAATGCTATATGCACCTACCTAGGCCCCAACACTTTCACCTGCACCTGCCAAGAGGGTTACCGTGGTGATGGCCAGGTCTGCCTACCCATTGATCCGTGCCAAAACAATTATGGGAACTGCCCGACGAACTCGACAGTTTGTCATTACGACGGCCCTGGAAAGGTTGGTTCTTATCGTGTTTACAGCGAGCTGCTGAGATCCACTTTGGGATTCAATGAAAATCCCTCTACACTTACAACCAGGTGCTAAGTTAGACAGAACAAAATTATATGTGTGATAACAAGGTGTAGAGCTGGATGAACATAGCAGACCAAGCAGCATCAGAGGAGCAGGAAAGCTGACGTTTCGGGTCTGTACCTTTCTTCAGAAAAAAAAATTATATGTGTGTTGGCTCAACCTCACCCTGCAGCCGCACTCATTAGGACAGTGATAGCTAGCATGATTTTTTTCAATCAGTATCATATTTCTAAACCTAAAACAGGCCCTAAGTGCATGGTTGCTGTTTGTTTTCCCTCATGATTTCAAAGTTTGCTGTCTCTTGTGAAACTGCAACAACTTCTAGTCTACAACACCATCACATAATTAAGATTATTCCAAGGCTTTTAGTGGAGAAACATCGAGCAAAATTTGACACTGAGCTACATTAGGTCAGGTGACCAAAAGCTAGACCAAAGACATACAATTTAAGGGGTGCATTAAAAGAAAAGGTTGAGAGAGAGAAGACATTAACAAATAGAAATTCAGAACTTACGGGTTTGTTGGGGTGGAGGGGGTTGATAATTGGAAACGAAAAGGTTCTGGACTTGTTTGAAAAGAATGAAGAGTGTTTGAAATTGAAGGTGACTCCAGTCTGAGAGTGAGTGGAGGCCAATAGAGGGTGATGGGTGAATGGGACTTAGTACAAATTACTGTATGTACTCAATTAGATGTCACTTTTCCAAGAGAAAGACTTTTGGCAGAACATTAAAGGGTGAACTTATACACAGGTAATGTTTCTGAGGGGCTTGCTTAATGAAAAGGTAATGAAGGAAGCCATGAATAAGAGGTATTGAGATACCTGATCATCACTCTCACCGTTTGGGCATGTTATATATGAATGTGTCAGTTCAAAAGCATGGATATTTTCTTTGCTTCCAAACAAGGCACAAGGGCTTAATCAGGCTGTGAATTTTATTTTGTCAGTCCCATGAGCTTTGAACTGAACGTGGAGCTCCCACTTCTTCAGGTAGCACAGCACCAGGTTCTAGATTGATCAGGTGTTAGGTGAACATAATGCCCCTTCATGGCACCCCTAACAAAAGCCCATTGAGGCATTGAACTCCAGCCCACTCTCTGAAAGAGCTTTGTCAAGCTGTCAGCTTGCTTCAGGGAGTCCCTATCACCTCCCCCACATCTCGGGCGAGGAAACAGCGACACTTACTGGGCTTGTGGTTTTTATCTTTTTGTGGTTTTAATGCTGCTCAGGGGTCAGGGAAAAGCATCGTTGGAAAATGCCGTGCAAGTATTGTTTAATGAATAACAAATTAAGGTATGTGAAAAATTAAGGACTTTAGGGCAAAAGACAGAAGTTGTCTGTTACATGAGACTACATGAAATCAAATTTATGGAGAGTGGCTCCTTTACTCTTTCATGGGATGATCATTGCTGGCAATACCAATGTTTGCTGTTAAACCCTAGTAGCCTTTGAACTGAGGAGCTTGGTAGGTCATTCCAGAGGGTAGTTAAAAGTCTATGACATTGCTGTAGATCTGAACTCACATGTAAGCCAGACCAGGTGAAGAAGACAGATTTCCCTCTCCAAAAGAGCATTAGCGAACAGATGAGGTTTTGAAATAATTCATGATAGTTTCATAATCATCTTTATTGAGGCTAATTTTCAATTCCAGGCAGAATTAAATCTAATGTAGGAGCAAATTACTGCAGATGCTGGAATCTGAACTGAAAACAAAAAATGCTGGAGATCACAGCAGTTCAGGGGGCATCCATTGACAGAAAGTAAGCAATGTTTCTGCTGAAGTGTTATCTAGACTCGAAGCGTTAGCTTGCTCTCTCTCCGTGGCTGCTGCCTGACCAACTGTGATCTGCAGCATTTTTTGTTTTCAGAATTAAATCCAAATTCAACCTGTTGCAATGGAGTTTGACCTCACTCCCCGGAAGATTAGCCTGGGCCTCTATATTACAAGTCCAGTGACATGATCACTTGGCCGTGTAAATTGTTACAAGATATTATTACAAATACAATGTTTAAATGAAAAATGTTTTTTACGAATTAAAACACCGTTTCCACGTAAAGAGAAAGAAAGGAAGGCCTTCAAATTTTGACATGATTTATGATGGAAAGGATATTGCAAGATTTAACCAATGAGTCATATTTTTGTTTCTTTTGTAGTCTCATTGTCAATGTCAGGAAGGCTATGAGAATCTGTTGGCTGGAATAGGATGTGAACTGACTGATGTCTGTAAGAGCAACAACACTTGCGATAAAAATGCCAACTGTGCCACGGTTGCCCCAGGACAGATTGAGTAAGCAGTTCATGTAACAGCTGTTCAGATGGTAATGATGTCTAACGTTTACTGGGGAGAGTTATAAGACCATAAAATGTAGGCCAATTAGCCTGTGGGGTCTGCTGCAGCATTCAGTGAGATCATGGCTGATGTGATAATCCTCAAATCCAATTTCTTGCCTTTTCCCATAACTCTTGATTACTGCACTGATTAAAAATGCCCTAGACAAGATTTACACTGCCACAAATGCTCTGGAGACAAAATTCCCCGAGGCCCGATTCATTGTGCCCGGTGACTTCAACCAAGCCAACCTCCAGAGGGCGCTGCCAAAGTACCACCAACACATCTCCTGCCCCACCAGGGGACTGAACATCCTGGACCATTGCTACACAACCATTGATGCCTACAGCTCCATCCCCAGCCCACACTTTGGGAAATCAGATCGCAGCACTGTGTTCCTGCTCCTGGGTTACAAACAGAAGCTGAAAGGGGAGGATTCTTTACAAAAGGAAGTACAATGCTGGTCCAAGGCTGTGGAAGACTGTTTCTGGGACTGCTTGGAATTAGTGTACTGTTCCATGTTCAAGTACGCAGCTGCAAACCTAGACAAGTACGCCACCACCGTGAAGGTCTTCATTAGCAAATGTGTGGAGGACTGTGTACCAAGGAGGTCAATCCGAGTGTTCCCCAACCATAAACCTTGGATGAACCAGGAAATTCACTCCCTACTGAAGACCCGATGAGCAGCATTCAAGTCGGGTGACACGGACCAATACAGAAAATCCAGATGTGACCTCTGCAAAGTCATCAGAGGAGCCAAGAGGCAGTACCGCACCAAGTTAGAGGCCCAAACCTACTAAACAGACTCCCGCTGCCTATGGCAAGGCCTAAACAACATTACGGGATACAAAATGGAGCAGAGCAAGATAGCGGACAAAGACACATCCCTCCTTGGTGCGCTAAATGCTTTTTATGCTCGGTTTGAGCTGAATGCCAGCAGCTTGGTGATGCATGTCCTGACAGCCCCAGACACACCTGTTCCCTTTGTCCCTGCTGCAGCTGTCAGCTCAGTCCTCCTGAGAGTCAACCCAAGGAAAGCGATGGGCCCAGACGGTGTCCCCAGGCCGAGCACTCAGATCCTGTGTGGACCAACTGGTGGAGGTATTCAACAACATCTTCAACCTATCCCTCCTACAAACCAAAGCCCCCACCTGCTTCAAGAAAACCACCATCATCCCCGTACCCAAGAAAACACACGCAAATGCCTTAATGACTACTGCCCTGTGGCTCTGACATCCATAATCATGAAGTGCTTCAACAGGCTGATCATGGCCCATATCAGCTGCAGTCTCCCAACCTGCCTCGTTCTCCTACAGTTTGCCTACTGACGTAACAGGTCCACAGAGGACCTAGCCCTGCACTCACCCCTGGAACATCTGGACAATAAAGACACCTACATCAGACTCTTGCTTGTTGACTACAGACCTGCCTCCAACACCATTATCCCCGCCAGACTAATCTCAAAATTCTGTGACTGTAGTCTTGACTCTACCCTCTGCAACATGGTCCTCAGCTTTCTGACCCATAGGCCTCAATCAGTGAGGATAGGTAACTGCACCTCCTCCACGATAACACTCAACACTGGACCGCCCCCCCCAAGGATGCGTCCTCACCTCCCTACTGTACTCCATGTACACCCACAGCTGTGTTGGCAAATTCCAAACAAACGCCATCTACAAGTTCACTGATGACATCACCGAAGTGGGACGGATCTCTAAAAATGACGAGTCAAAATACAGGACAGAGATAGAGGGCTTGGTGACATGGTGCAATGGGAACAGCCTCTGTCTCAACATCAGAAAAACTAAAGAACTGATCATTAACTTCAGAAAGAAAGGAGGAGAACACGCCCCCATCTACATCAATGGAACTGAGGTTGAGAGGGTGGAGATCGCCAAGTTCCTAGGAGTGACGATAACCGACAACCTGACCTGGGCATCCCACGTAGATGCAACATTCAAGAAGGCACAACAATGCCTCTTCTTCCTCGGGCAGCTCAAGAAATTTGGCATGTCCATAAGGTCCCTCACCAACTGTTACAGGTGCACCATTGAAAGCATACTGTCCTGGTGCATAACAGGCTGGTATGGCAACTGCTCTGCCCAGGTGAGTAAGAAACTACAGAAGGTTGTGAGCACAGCCCAGACCGTCACAGAAGCCAACCTTCCATCCACGGGCTCCATTTACATGGCTCACTGCCGCACAAAGGCGGCCAACATCAAAGACACATCACACCCAGTAGTGACCTCCTATAACCTCTTTCATCAGGCAGAAGGTACAGAATCCTGAACACACGCACTAGCAGCTTCAGGAACAGCTTCTTCCTGGCCGTTATCAGACTGATAAATGGACTCTCCAGCCTCAAATAATGATTGACCTTGGCTAATGTGATCTCACCTGGTGCACACTCTGTGCAATGTAACCTGTACCTCCGTCTAAGTTGTTTTGATCTATACATCCTTTGCTTACTATGATCTGCCCGTACTGCTCGTAAACAAAGCTTTTCACTGTACTTTGATACACATGAGAATAAATCAATCAATTGATCAATCAATCAATCAAATCTGACCATCTCAGCCTTGTTGATTATTGATCAACAATACTTATTGATCCAACCAGGACAGAATTCAACAGACTCATTAACTTTAATGAATATATCAAGGGTGTCCTGACACCTTAGTGTGTAACCTGCCTTAAATTTTGAATACATCTTTTTGGCTTGGATTTGATGATCTGAGGGTATTACTTGGTCGTGGCTGTTAGGCTGGGCTTGTGACCTTTGTCACTGCAGAAACTGGTCTAGTGCTTGGGCCAGTGGATGTTTGTGGGTTTAGGGGTATGGCACGTTAATTTCTCAGGGAGGGTAACAGTCACGCATGTCAGGTTGGGCACAGCTCAAGTACATGCTTCACCCCAGATGGAATGAAGGTGGAGTTTAACGACAACATCAGCCATAATCTTATTGGATGGCATAGCAGGCTCAAAGAGCACGGCCTACTCTTGATCTTACTTTTTACATCACTAGTTGTTTGGAATACAGTAAGTGAGTATTGCTGAAAAAAAAAATGACACAGAAGTTCCAAACCTTTGCATCTTACACGCATCAGAATATTTTGCAAGAATGCAAATTCAAACAGAAAATCAACATTTATACTCCATGAGCGGAGAGTGCTTGCCAAGTGAACTGTGATTGCTAGAGGCGTTGTCATGGAGAATGCACCCATTAATGCAGATTGACAGCTAACATCCGGGTTTTATTAAATTGTAAACCAGGCATTGGTCCGGGGCATTGCCCTGAGAACCAATGAAAGGCTGTCATCTATTTTGTTGAGTTGAAACTGGCGCAATGCATGTACATGGTCTTCCCGTCTGCAGAGAATAGGACCATATTAATCTATATGGCTTCCAGTACATGCAAGTGCACCACACTGTGAGCCTGACTGAGAATTTAGGTGCTTATGGGATCTGGGCATTGCTGGCAAGACCAGCATTCATTGCCCTTTCCCAATTGCCATTGATCTGAGTGGCACGCTAGGCCATTTTAGAGGGCAGTTACCAGTCACACATAGGCCAGATTGGGTAATAACAGCAGATTTCCTTCTGAAAAGACGCTAGTGAAGCAGATGGGTTTTTATGACAACCAGTGTTTGGTTCACAGATGTACTATCTGTACCATGATATTCAAGGCTATGGGCCAAGAGCTGGAAAGTGGGACTATTGTAGATTTAGAGCAGTTTATTTCGATGCAAACTCAATGGGCCAAAGTCAATACCGTATGCTGCACTGATTCTATGACTCCCACTACAACTATGGCCAATATATCATATTGAAAAGGCGCAGGACACAAGAATATAAGATCCAGAAGCAGGACAGCACCCACACAGCCTACTGTTCTACCATTGCATCCAATCATGGCTGATTTTTGACTTCAACTTACTTTCCCAGTCTCATCCCATATACCTTGAATCTCTGAGAGATCTAAAATCAGTGTATCAGGGACCCAGTTGTGATAGTGGTAATGTCACTAAAGTAGACATCCAGAGACCCAGGTCAATCCCAGAGGACACAGCAGCCTGTGGAACTTACATCTGAAGAATCTGAAATTGAAAACTAGTCTCACAGTGACAGTGACCATGAAGCTATCATTGATTGTCATAGAAACCCATCTGGTTCACTAATGTCCCTCAGGGAAGGAAATGTGCCATCCTCACCTGGTCTGGCCGATATGTGACTCCAGACCCACAACAATGTGGTTGATTCTTAACCGCCCTCTGTAATGGCCAAGCAACCCACTCGGTTCAGGGCAGTTAGGAATGGGAGATAAATGCTGGCCTTGCCAGTGATGTCCATATCCCATTAAAGAAAAAAGATTCTCAGCATTTAATAGGTAAAAAGCACAGATAAGTAGTTTTGCTGCATGCTAATGCTGATGAGGAATTTGATACAATGTGTGACCACCTCACCCAGGTGCAGCTGCAATGAAGGATATACAGGAGATGGCTCTGTCTGCTATGGAAGTATCATGGAGAGAATCAAGGACCTGAACACTCAGTCTAGAGGCCCATGGCAAGGACAACTAACATCAGCCATGTTGTTTTTCGGTAACCTCTTCTTCCCTCAGTTTTTTTGTAAAGACTGTATCTTCCTCAGATTTGGCATAAACAGTATAAGCTTAATGGGGACCAATGGGTCCATCATTTCTTTCACAGAATCCCTTCAGTGTAGAAACAGGCCATTCAGACCAAAAAGTCCACACAAACTCTCCAAAGGCCATCCCACCCAGACTCACCCCCCGACCCTATCCCTGTAACCCTGCATTTCCCATTGCCAATCCACCTAACTTACACATCCCTGGACACTATGAGCAATTTAGCACGGCCAATCCACCTAACCTGCACATCTTTGTGACTGTGAGAGGAAACCGGAGCACCCGGAGGAAACCCGCACAGACATTCCCGAGGCTGGAATTGAACCCAGGTCCCTGGCGCTGTGAAACTGCTATTGGCTGCTTGAGAAAGTTACACACCAAAAACTGGTCTGTCTAAAAATTTTAAAGATTTTATACCAACTCTGTGATTCCGATATTACCCATGGGCACATTTTGCCGGGATGGGGGATGAGGTCAGTTATACATCCATCCATTCCAGAGGGTGGGCCAAGTCATCACTCAGAACCAAATGAAGGGAAGAATTGTCTCCAGGGGCTGTATCCTGGTCAAGAAAGAGTTAAGTCCGTGGTAGGAGAAAAGACCATAAGCTCAAAAGAATTAGGTACCAGTGTAGGCTATTTGGCCCCTTGAGCCTGCTCTGCCATTCAATAGGATCATGGCTGATCTGTCATTTCTCATGTCCACTCTCCTGCCCTTTCCCCATAACCCTTGGAAGCTGGAGCATGATTTGGTATTCCCAAACTGGCTCCCACCAACTGACAGGAGACCTTGTGGTTGCTATGGAGAGGGAGACCTGATCAGATGAAAAGCCTGTCAGCATCAAGTCTGCCCTGGACTTAGGATCCAGGCCATTGAAGTTCTACCCTCTGAGAACTGCCAGCCAATTAGAATATGGCAGCTCTCGAGTGCAGAAAAATTATTTGCATTAATTTTATAAATTACATGTCTCAAGTCAATGATTCATACCAGAAACTGACAGACACTTTCACATTACAAATATTGATTATACAGAGGCACATTCATTTGAAACATTTTAATATGGTTTATAGTCTCATCATAATCATCTTCTGAGAAACTAAAACTGATAGTTTATCAAAATTAACTAACAAAGTTGGCAGTAACTAATCCTGTTTATAAACCACACTATTGGTGTCTATGGTGATGCAAAATTGCTATCATTATGTGACACTATCTGAGTGGTCAGAATGTGGGCTCTGTCCTGTTCCCTCATAAGACCTTGACTGTGGTGTTGAGAGTTCCGGGCTTGTATTTTAAAGCTGTTGGCATCACTCTAGATGCCAAGCCTGTCATACAAGCTAACCAACCCCCTTTAATTAACAAGTTCAGATATGCTACAATACATCTCTGATTTGAGGTCTCCTGGATCAGAGGTATGGGCTCTATCATTGTGCTACGCAAGCCCTAAAATAGCTGCAGCAGGATTTAAACCTACAGGATAGCTTTCCAATTCACCGAAATTTCTTCCATTAGGCCAAGCAACCACCAGCTGTCCCTTTGTGAACTCATTAATGGAGATCAGTTGCAGCAATTAGTCAGTGACTCCATTGTTGTTTTGGACAACCAGGTACAGGAAAGTGAAATAGGTGGAACTCAGTCTTTTTCATCTCACAGTTCCTGATTATGAAAATTAGTTCTAGTTTTGATGTACTTACCAAAGAATATACATGTTCAAATATCATTAGAATATGGTCTGAAATTGTACACTTTTCTTTCTCTACTAGGTACCGGTTATGCAAAGCCACTGACCAATTTGGGTCCTTTTACTTTATTTCTACCCACCAACAAAGCCTTTAAAGCAGTTGATGTAAGTTACAGGAAGTTTAACTTATGACAATTATTCCTCTTTATGACTTTGGGAGGGTTTACGCACAGCAAGAAGTGGGGAGTGACTGCAGGAGCATGGTCCACTTTCTCTTTTGGACATCTGAGTCCTCACTTTAAACTCCATCAACAATAGTATGTAGGATGTGGTTGAACATTAGGTCACTGAAATATCACATTTCCCACCTTGTTCAATTTGAATGGTTGAGGGTCCACTTGCAGGCAGGGGTGAGGGTAACAGTGTGCAGTTCTTGGGAAATGATCATAATTCATTCAGCCAGAATCATTCCAGATTACACCCACATGTGCCGTTTAAAAGAAGTATCCTTTTAATTTCATTAGACTCCCTCTGCTGGTACATGTGTGTATGGTAGACTTAAATGGACAAAATGCACAATACAATTTTCAATACACTAATGATGGGGTGTTTGAATTATAGAATCCCTATAGTGTGGAAAGAGACCATTCTACCCATCAATTCTGCATCACACCTCCAAAAAGCATCCCTCCGAGACCCAACCACCATTCCTATCCCTTTAACCCTGCAGTGTAGGCTAAAATTCATTTTTCTGAAGAAGGGTCCCGACCCAAAACGTCAGCTTTCCTGCTCCTCTGATGCTGCCTGGCCTGCTGTGTTCCTCCAGCTCCACATTGTGTTATCTCAGACTCCAGCATCGGCAGTTCTTAATATCTCTGAGTGCTAACCACTCAGCTAGTCCAGGAGGAGGATATTTTGTTGAGTCAGGTGAAGGGGTTCCATTTAATGTTACAAAGTGCCAGGCCTTCCAGAGCCCCCTTCGCATGCTAACATCTCCTGCCAAAGCCATTACCCTAAGCATTTCCAATCATCATTGAACATTGGACATTGAACCAGGGCCTAATCTGTGTTTCTTGATGGTTGTAAAAGAGATCCTATGACAAGTGAGATCTCCTCTGTGCTCTTTTATCCCTAAATCAACACCATTAAATAAAGCAAGTTACCTGTCACCTTGGTGGTTGTGGAATCTTGCCGTGCACAATTTGACTACCACACTTCCTGCATTACAACAAATGCACCTTATCAGCTGTAAAGTACTTCGAGAAGCCCCGACACTGTGAAAGGTGTTATGCAAATACAATATTTTTGTTTTTTTTATTAAGATAGAGTTCGACCCCACAGTTGTACCGAAGCTAATCAGCTTGGCAACAGCATATAAAATAAATGTTTCTCCTAACAATTATCTCACATTTTAATTCAGTTAAACAGGATTTTGGCAGACAAGGACAGAACACAGTACCTTGCAAAGCTGCACATCATTGCTGGCCAGCTAAGCATCGCAGATTTAAACGTCACCGATTCATTTTACACATTGACTGGGAGATCAGGAGTGACAATACTAAGAGAGAAGGTGAGCTTGTGATATGAAGGAAATGTGTTTTAACAGCCAAGAAGAAAGCAATATGTACTGTGAACCTCTGAACTCCTTTCAGTTAAGGAGCAAGTTTGATGACCAGTGCACTATTGCTGCTCCTCGTTCTTATGTTCTTAATTAGATCACTATTTATTCAGGACAATATTTTTTTTAATTTTCAATAAATATTTCTAGTTTTGCACCTAATCTATTTTAGTACCTAAGATTTGTACCAGATACTTTGTACCTAAGATGGCGCTGAGTGTGGCAACATTGTATACAGTTTACTGTACTCCTGTACTTTGTACTTGACTACTCATGGCAATAAACCTAATTCTAATTCTAATTTCTTGTCATTTGTGCCAAACAATTTGTGCTGTGCAAGGGACATTTAACTGCGAGTTTCAGTCCAAATTCAGGGTTTATTTCGACTTTAGAAGAATGGAAAATGGGACTTGTAGCAGGGAATAATTTTGCTCCAAGTGCAATACCAAACGCCAAAAGAGAAAGTGATGCTGTTTTAGTGTCTCATGTCAGGCTTTATCCCATGAAAATTCTGGCAGATTTTGGGACAGCAACTGAATTTGTTTTCCAATCAATCTGTTCAGACAAGGTATTACACACCTCTGGAGCAGGTGGGACTTGAACCTGGAACCCCCTGGCTCAGAAATAGGAACACTACTAAAAGATTATATTGTAAAGTAAGTAGCTGGATCATCCGTTTACATGACACATTGTCAGTGTGATCATCTGGTCTCACCGTGATCATCTGAAGGGGCCAAAGAGGAGTTTGGTATGTTTTTGGTCACTTCCACAAGATACCAAGAGTTTGAGGTGTGTTTTGTAGGGAGTGTGTAGGAAGTATGTGGTCATGTGGGCATTATGTTTTGTGGAGTAACGTTGATAAACCAACTGGTCTTTATCTGGCAGCTTTCAAGCTATCAAATATCAGGCTGGTGAATAATTTAGAGTGCACAACAGAGATCCCAATATTTATTCTTAGTGCTGCTGCCCCTGTCTTTATTCTATGGTCATGGTGTGTTATCGTTCACTTAGTGGGGCTGGGTAGATGTGGATGGTATTGGTACAGGTTCCTCCCCATCATGTGGTTGACCAAGAATCTCTTACTTCCTGTCCTTGGCATGCGTTGAAAGGATTTACAAGTTAATAACAACCTGTTTGGCTGCATTAACCAATCAGCACTGTGGCAAGTAAACCAGGGACAACAAGCTATTCAGAAACTTCCTAGTTGTGTTGTCAAATGCAAACCATGGCCCATTACTTTGAGCTAAACGAAGCAAGGCTGAACACTGACAGACTTCATTCACACAGTTTATCTTTCTTGCATCTCTCATCCTACAAGCTTCAGGATCAGTAAAAAGTTGTACTGCTGTAACATATTTGATTAATTGGAAATGTGCATAAACATACATTCAGCGAGGGCTGTAATAACTGTAATGGTGTAAAGCACTTGGGTTCACACCAAATTAAAAAGGTGTAATTTATATCTAAATTCCGCATTCAGTGATTCTGATGTGAAGCAGAGTGAGATTCCACAGAGGAGGAACAAATTGCTTGCTCACTCTTTATGAATGGGCTGTGCCTCTAACACTATGGTCATAGTGTAAATGCAGTCCTAAAGAACAACAATGAGACTAGAAGTATAGAGTACAAGAGCAGGGGGGTGGTACTGAACTTGTACAAGACACTTGTTAGACTTCAGCTGCAGTATTATGCCATGTTATAGGAAAGATTTGAATGCATTGGAGAGAGGGCATAAGCTATTGACTAGAATGGTTCCAGGATTGAGAAACTTCAGTTTTGAGGACAGATTGAAGAAGTTGATTGTTCTCCGTGAGAAAAGAAGGCTAACCGGAGATTTGATTGAATTTTTCAAATCATAAGCAGGCTGGACATAACACATCACTTGAAGCTGTTTCCACTTGTAAAAGAAACAATAATGAGAATTCATAGATTTAATGAAACACAAGTGATGTGAGGAAAAGCTTTCTCCCACAGCGAATTGTTGGGCAATGAAATGCACTGCCTTGTAGTGTGGTGGGGGAAAGTTCAATAGGGGGCATTCAAGAAGTAACTGGATAATTATTTGGATAGTAATAGTGTACAGGAATACAGGGAAAGGGCAGGAGTTTGGCACTAGGTAATAGAATCGGTGTAGGTACAATGGGCTGAATAGCCTCCTTCTGCACTGTAATAATTGTGACTCTGTGACTCAGAGGAAACTGTAAGACAATGTACTAAGAGTTGAAGGCAGACTCTCAAAATCCACGAACTCCCTTCCTAACACCACATAGACTTCATCAATTCAAGAAGGCAGCCACTTTGTCAAGAGCAATGAGAGATGAGCAATAAATGTGGGCCCAGCCAGTGACACCCCATTGCCCAGGAAAAAATAAATAATAAGCAATTCCAACGAAGACTGGACTGAAAATGTTAACTCTGTTCCTCTCTTTACACGTGCTGCCAGACCTGCTGAGTTTCACCAGCACTGTCTGCTTTTATATATGCTTCTCTATGCATTTTAGTTTTGTTTGTGGTTATCTTTTGTGTTTTTCTTTATTAGACTAACCAGCTAAAGCTGCGCATTTATGGAAACAGCAAAAAAGCACGGATCCTAACTGGGAATGTCATTGCCTCTAATGGTCTGCTACACATTATTGACAAAGTGATGGATGGTATTGAACCCACAGTCAAAAGCAGCAAGGAGGTAAAGTCACATACCTGCTTTATATCTCTAACTACAAACATGAAAATTACTCTCTTTGAATGATTTACCACATAACACCATAAGACGTGGGAGCTGAAGTAGGCCATTCAGCCCATCAAGTAGCAGGGGAGGTGATGGCCTAGTGGTGTTATCGCTGCTCTGTTAATCCAGAGACCTAGATCACATTCTGGGGTCCCGGGTTCAAATCCCGCCACAGCAGATGGTAGAATTTGAATTCAATAAAATATCTGGAATTAAAGATCTAATGATGGCTGTGAGTCAATTGTCAGGAAATGACAATTCACTAATGTCCTTTAGGGCAAGGAAACTGCCATCCTCACCTGGTCTGGCCTATATGTGACTCCTAACTGCCTTCTAGGCAATTAGGGATGGACAATGCCAATGTTGCCCTCATCCTGTTAATGAATAGAAAATAAACTCTGCTCTGTCATTCAATGAAATTGTGGCTAATGATAATCCTGATCTCCACTTTCCTGCATTAACCCCATAATCATAGAATCCCTACAGTGTGGGGACAGGTCATTCGGCCCAACAAGTCCACACTGCCCCTCCGAAGAGTATCCCACCCAGACCCATTTCCCATGTCTAACCCACCAACCTAAACATTCCTGGGTACTATGGGCAATTTATCATCTCCAATCTATCTACCCTGCACATTCCATTATCACCAAACTACAGTCCCTGTTAAATATAAATTTAATGTTGATCTCACTCTTTGTGCAACTTCTCTGCAACCGTAACATTTTATTCTCTGCTCTGTTCTATTACCCTAATGCAGTTTATGTATTTTAATCTGCCTGTACTCAATGCAAGACAAAACTTATCACTGTACCTAGGTACATGTGACAATCATAAATCAAAAAATCTCCTACACAATGCCCATCCTGTAAAAAGCATATTTGTTTCCACTCTAAAAGCAATGTCCTGTTAGCCTGCTGCATCAGTGGAAGAATGAGATGTGATCTTATTAAAACATAAGATTCATAGAGGGCAAGGTAGATCCAAAGAGTTTTTTTCCCCTTGTCAGAGAGTCTGGAACCCAGAGGTCATCATCTCAGAGTAAGGTGTCATACAGTTCAGAGTTGAGGAGGAATTTCTTCTCTCAGATGCTAGTGAATCTGTGAAATTCTTGACTGTCGAGGGCAGTCAAGGCTGGGTCATTAAGTATATTCAATGTTGAGATAGATAGATTTTTAATCAGTAAGAGAATCAAGGACTGCTTGTGAGAGGTAGCGGGATCATTGCCCAGCATTCTCCACTCCCTGGGCAGCATGGTGGCTCAGTGGTTAGCACTGGTGCCTCACAGTGCCACGGACATAGGTTCGATTCCACCCTTGGGTGACTGTCTGTGTGAAATTTGCATATTCTCCCTGTGTCTGCGTGGGTTTCCTCTGGGTGCTCAGGTTTCCTCCCACAGTCCAAAAATATGCAAACTAGGTGGTTTGGCCATGCTAAATTGCCAGTAGTGTCCTGTGATGTGCAGGTTAGGTGGACTGGCCTTGGAAAGTGCACAGTTACAAGGAAAAGGTGGGGGGGTGGGCCTCGTCGGGATGCTCTTCAGAGGGTTGGTGTGGACTCAATGGGCCGGATGGCCTGCTTCCATACTGTAGGGATTCTATGATTCTTATGACCTCCTGGTTTGTATCCAATGTTGGACAGGTTTCTTTGCCCATATGATTAATAAGGTTATGTTTTTCCCTCACTCCTTCAGAAAAGCCTATACACAATAATTTCAGAAAATCGAAAGTTCAAGAGGTTCATGGAATTACTGCAGGTAGGAGTCTGTCAAACATGATATCACTTTTCAGAATAACTAATGATGTGTTCAACGGTCTTCTCAAAAACCAATTTCCTTTTGGCTTCCTTGAGCCAGAATTTCAACCAGTTAATGCCAGGCTTATAAGGAAGTAAAAAAACTAATAACGCACACAGCTCGCTTACACAGCTTGATCTGCTCAGTGCAGCATGACTTATGGTGGCCTTCTGTAGAACTCCTTTCAGTAACAGTATCCTCTTACAAACAGAAATGTGATCTTGACCAACTCCTCAAGTCCTCTGGCACATTTACTGTTTTCGTCCCAAGCAGCAGTGCTCTGGATGGGATGAAAGATGGAAGACTGGATTACTTGCTTTCAGCAGAGGTAACAAAATGATAGTTCTTTTTTATAATATGGTGATTTTTTTGCCTAGCATAATTCCTCACTGGGAGGTCTACTAACATATTGTCTGGCATTTTGGCAGCTTTTGCGGCAAATTGTCAGTTCGTGTAATCACACAAGTGATGGCTTTTCTCACCCCTTCGAGTTAATCAAGTGTATGTTTAAAATGGGATGTCTGAGTACTTTATTTTGGTATCAACCTTGACTTATGGCACAAAAGGTCATGAGTGGAGTCTCACGTCTGGCCTTGTGTATGTAATCTAGGCAATCACAACTAATGCAGCACCGACAGTGTCTCACTGTCAGCGGTGCCATCTATCAGATGATACCAAGGCCCATCACCCTGTTAAGATATATATACGAATCTCTCAGCACATGGAAAAAGAGATGTAGAGATACTTCACTGTCCTCATGAAATTTATCCCTTGACCTGTGCTGCCAAAAGGGAGTTCTTCCCTGCTATAATTAGACTGCTGAATGGACATGTCTAATTTCAAATCTAATGTTGATCTTGCTTTATGCACCTCCTGTGCAGCTGTAACCTTGTGTGCCTCGCTCGGTCTAAACACCCTATGATCTGTATGTTCTTGTACGTTATGATGTGCCTGTACTACATGCAAAACAAAATTTTTCATTATACTTACGTACATGTGACAATAATAAATAATAAATTAAATCAAATCAGTACGCCAATAATTGTTGGTGCTGAGGGCAAATTTATTTGGTCAGCAAAACAGCAAGGATAATTCATTCACCATGAAGGACTTTAGCATGTTGTAAGGATGTGAAAGGTATTATAAAAAAAGCACCAGTAAAATACCTCAGATGCTGTAAATCTGAAATAAAACCGGAAAATGCTGAAAATACTCAGAAGGTCAGGGAGAAAATAGAGTCAGAGATAGTAGGAACTGCAGATGCTGGAGAATCCGAGACAACAAGGTGCAGAGCTAGATGAACACAGCAGGCCAAGCAGCATCATAGGAGCAGAGAGGCTGACGTTTCGGGCCTAGACCCTTCATCAGAAAAGGGGGAGGGGAAGGGGGTTCTGAAATAAATAGGGAGAGAGTGGGAGGCGGATAGAAGATGGATAGAGGAGAGGATAGGTGGAGAGGAAACAAACAGGTCGAAGAGGCGGGGATGGGGCCAGTAAAGGTGAGTGTAGGTGGGGAGTTAGGGAGGGGATAGGTCAGTCCAGGGAGGACGGACAGGTCAAGGGGGCGGGATGAGGTAATCGGTAGGAGATGGAGGTGCGGCTTGAGGTGGGAGAAGGGGATAGGTGGGAGGAAGAACAGGTTAGGGAGGCGGGGACGAGCTGGACTGGTTTTGGGATGCGGTAGGGGGAGGGGAGATTTTGAAGCTTGTGAAATCCACATTGATACCATTGGGCTGCAGGGTTCCCAAGCGGAATATGAGTTGCTGTTCCTGCAACCTTCGGGTGGCATCGTTGTGGCTTACTGCAGGAGGCCCAGGATGGACATGTCATCTGAGGAATGGGAAGGGGAGTTGAAATGGTTCGCGACTGGGAGTGCAGTTGTTTATTGCGAACCGAGCGTAGGTGTTCTGCAAAGCGGTCCCCGAGCCTCCGCTTGGTTTCCCCGATGTAGAGGAAGCCACACCGGGTGCAGCGGATGCAGTATACCACATTGGCAGATGTGCAGGGATTTCACAAGCTTCAAAATCTCCCCGCCTCTTCGACCTGTTTGTTTCCTCTCCACCTATCCTCTCCTCTATCCATCTTCTATCCGCCTCCCACTCTCTCCCTATTTATTTCAGAACCCCCTTCCCCTCCCCCTTTTCTGATGAAGGGTCTAGGCCCGAAACGTCAGCCTTTCTGCCCCTATGATGCTGCTTGGCCTGCTGTGTTCATCCAGCCCTGCACCTTGTTGTCTCAGAAAATAGAGTCAAATCATTTCAGATCGATGACCCTTCATCAGAAAGCAAAACTTTTCTTGTAATGGGACCCTTATCCGAGTTTGTGATATTTGTGTGGGATGAGCTTCATGAGGCTGCCCACTGAAAGCACAGTTTTGAAATGTGCCCCTTTCTACATAAGTAGAAATCTGTTCTGTGCAATACAATTTTATTTTTGTAGGTGTTGGTAATATCATTTCTTTCTTGTTCAGGGCAAACAGAAGCTTAAGGAGTTGGTGAAACATCACATTATCCCTGGAACTGAGGTGAGTTCTTCTCTAGTCGTAAAACAATTGCCGAAGATAAAAGCCAAAGGAAAAAAATATCATGGATGCTGAAAATCTTAAATTTAAAACAGAACATTCTGGAAATATTCAGATCAGGGCAGCATCTGTGGAGAAACAGAGTCAACATTTCAATGACCTTTCATCAGAAAGGAAAGCTAGTTTGGAAGTGGATAGAGAACTTGGCTAAAAGGTAGTGAGGTGGGACATTGTGGTGGAGATATTAGAGGAAGGAACAAGAGAGACATGGCCTTTGGTAAGGAGGGAAGGCAGGAAGGGTTAAAATGACAAAATGGATGATTGTGTGAGCTAAAAGGAACAGGAACGGAACAAGAAACAAAAGGAAATCACAGAAATGTTCTAGATAGAAAGAGGCTGCTCAGCCCATCGTGTGTATGATGGTTCTCCAAGTGACCATTAACTCAGTGCCATTGTCCTTATTGTAACCCTGAACATTCTTCCTTTATGGACATCCATCCTATTCCCTTTTAAAAGCCCCAACTGTACCTGCCCCACCGCACTCTTGGTTTGTCCATTCCAGACCCTAACAACACATTCATGAGGAAGTTTTTCTCTCATATCGCTTTTGCTTCTTTGATGAATTACATTAAATCTGTGTCCTCTCATTCTTCATTGAATCTCTACAGTGTGGAAGCAGGCCATTTGACCCATTGAGTCCACACCGACCCTCCAAAAAGCATCCCACACAGACCCACCCTATCCCTGCATTTCCTACGGCTAAACCAGCTAGCCTGCACAGCCCTAGACACTACGGGCAAATGAGCATGGCCAATCCACCTAATCTGCACATCTTTGGAATGTGGGAGGAAACCAGAGCAAACCCACACAGACACAGGGAGAATGTGCAAACTCCACACAGATAGTCACCCAAGGCTGGAATCAAACCAAGGTCTCTGGCACTGTGAAGCAGCAGCGCTAACCACTGATGCCCATTTGCTCTATGCAGCCCTTCATGATTTCAAATGCTTCAATCAGATCTGCAAACTGCCATCTCTTGTCCAAGGAAGAACAGTCCCATCTTCTGTAATACATCCCCAAAACTGAAATACCTTATTCCTGGAACTGTTCTTGTAAACATCTTTTATATTCTCTCCAATGCCTTCATGCCCTTCCTAAAGTGTGGTGCTGATAACTGGACACTTTAGAGTAGTTGTAAATGGCAACATCAGAATCAGAATCAGTATGCTTTGTGAAATAAATAGGACTGGTGGCTATGATCTGAAATTATCGTGTGTAATAAAGATTATGATGTGCCTTCAGAGTGGCATGCATGATGGTGCATTAATTTCTATATAGCAAGTTCATCATAGAACACCTACAGTGTGGAAACAGGACCTTCGGCCCAACAAGTCCAAACTGACCCTTGGAGCATCCCACCCAGACCCAACCCTCTATAACCCACCTAAGCTACATATCCCTGAACACTACAGGCAATTTAGCATGACCAATCCACCTAACCTACACATTTTTGGACTGTGGGAGGAAACCAGAGCATGTGGTAGAAACCCACACAGACACAGGGAGAATGTGCAAACTCCACACAGACAGTCGCCTGAGGATGGAATCGAACCTATATCCCTGGCACTGTGAGGCAGCAGTGCTAACCACTGTGCCACCCCCGGTGTTCTGGTGATCAGGAATACAATGATTAAAAGGCTGGAGGAACAGATCTTGAAGTACATTCAAAAGAGAATTGGGGAAATATTGGCAGGAAATTAGGGCCAATTGTAAATTTTTAATCAAAGATCCAACATTGTCATCACTGAAAATAATGGATAGCAAAGACAGAAATGTGACAAAACCAATTTCCATTGATGGGTAACACAATACAGTACATTGGTTAGGCCACTTTTGGAATACTGTGTTCAGTCCTGGTCTCCCTGCTACAGGAAATATGTTGTGAAAAGAGTTCAGAAAAGATTTACAATGACATGCAAGGTTTGGAGAGTTTGAGCTATAGAGAGCAGAATAGGCTGGGCTATTTTCCCTGGAGCGTCGGAGGCTGAGGGGTGACCGTATAGAGGTTTATAAAATCATGAGGGGCATGGATAGGTTGAATAACCAAGGTCTTTTCTCCAGGGTATGGAAATCCAAAACTAGAGGGGATAGGTTTAAGGTAAGTGGGGAAAGATTTAAAAGGGACCCCAGGATGCAGAAGGTGATCTGTGTATAGAATGAGCTGCCAGAGGCTGGTACGATTACAAGATTTAAAAGCCATCTGGATAGGTATATGAATAGGAAAGGTTTAGAGGGATTTGAGCAAACGGGACTAGATTAATTTAGAATATCTGATCAGCATGGACGACCAAAGGGTCTGTTTCTGTGCTGTACACCACTAATACTCTGTGACTCGATGGAGGGGTTGGTAAAATTGATCCTGAGATTGTTCTTGAAGTTTAAATTGTGTACAAGGTCAGTGACAGAGACATCGGAGGGAGATTGAGGCAGAGGTCTTTGTTAAAATGGGAAGTAACAAATAGCTGAGGGCCAGGGCTGCTTTAAGAATGAATGAGTCAGGCAAAGCAAGCATTCAATCTGAATGTGGTCTCCCAAACGTAAAGAAGGCTACATGTTAAGCAGTGAATACGATGTATTGAATTAGCTGAACTACAAGTGAATTACTCCTCACACTGTTTTTCCTCTGTATAAACCAGCTGGAAGTTTCAAGTCTTCTCTCTTCACCCACCATCCTGAGCTTAGCAAATCAACGGGTGACATTGAATGTGAGCTACAATGTAAGTTAATCCTTTCTTCAGTACTGAGGCTAACTTCACCTGTGTTAAAATGTGTTTCATTTTATCAGAAAAGGCTGTGAGTGAAAAACACAGGGCATCTACTTTGATATAACTCCCAATTTCAGTTTGTGTGATAGTGTAGTGTGAAATGTGAATTGACAGCCTATCTAACCTCTCTCATTCCCATTGCTTTTAACAAAAATCAGGAAAGAAGAGGAGCACTAACAAATCTATCATTTATAACTCATAATTCTCACTGAGAAGGTGGGAGTCAGCCATTCTGAACCTTAATCATTCACTTTCTCCATCACTGACGCTCAGTAGCAGTAGTATGTACCATCTACAAGATGTACTGCAGAAAATCACCTAGACTTCTTCAAAACCATGTTCCAAACCCACAAATTCTACCAATCCAGATGGAAGAGAGCAGCAGATATATGGGAGCACCACCCTCTCCAAATTCCCCTCCAAGCCACTCACTGTCCAGATTTGGAAGTATATTGCTGTTCCTTCAGTGTTGCTGGGTCAGAACCCTGGAACTCCCTCCCTAACAACCCTGGGTCTACCTAAATCCCAAGGGTTAAGAAGGCACCTCATCACCACCTTCTCAAGGATAATTAAGGATGGGCAATAAATGCTGACCTCTCCAGAAATACTCATGTTTTGTGAATGAATTCAGAAACAACGGAGCTCAAGTACTGAAGTTGTTCTAACAGACATTCATGAGGTAAATACAGGATTTTGAACCAGAAGTTACATTTATTGAGTCCATTGTTAGATTTTTTTTCCCTTACCCAGCTGGTGCCATGCAAATTGTGGTTAATGAAGGACATGGAGTACCCACAAGCTCTAGCAATCAGGCCAACTAAGCCTAGCAATCTCAATCCTATTCATGCTTATATTTCTCATTCTCTGCTTCATTCCCATTTGGTTTCTGAAGGACCTAATGTACACCCTGCCATGATCTGGTGGTGTCGATGGTTTGAGTGATATGCAATTTGCTGGGAGTGTGAAGTTAAAATGAGTTCTTGAGGCTCCTTTGTGAGCACCAAACATTTAACATACATATATACATACATATATAACTATGTACGTACTGAGACCAAAACCTGAGCAATCCTTGTGTAATATTGCTCATGTGAAACACAAATAAGGGAATGGAAAGGTACAGTGCCTTAGGTGCTCCCAAGGTAAATGTAACCACAATGATGCTTATGGATCAGCCAAATACTGGTGTAATATACATGCAGCAAATTTGTTGCTTGGCTTCAAAAATGTCTTTGTATCATTTATTGTTTGTGTCAGCTCTGGCTCTGTTGGCAGCAGTCTCAACGCTGAGCTTTCCAAGTTCAAGACCCACTCCAGGCCTTTATCACAAAGACAACAGTCTGGCATTAAAAAGACCAGCCTGATTCATGATGGAGTTGGGATCAGCGCAGGAGTCCAAGCCATGCACTTGACTTACTTCCCAGAGTTAGGAAATGGGAGCATTAGTTCTGTATTTTGGCACCAGGAATGCTTCTGGGTGCCTTGAATCAACTGGCCATTGCCCCTAAATCTTCTCTTTTACTATGCAGCACTGTAGGAGGTGCTGCCTTTCAGGTGAATGAGAAAGATTCTTGGAATTCTGTGGGACTAGTTTTGATGGAGAGCAGGAGAGTTACCTCTGGTGTCCTGGCTAATATTTATCCTTCAATCAATATGACACAAACAGATTATCTTGTCAATGAACACATTGATGCCTGTGGATGTATGCCAGGTCTTTCCTAGGTTATAACAGCAACAGCATTCTAAAAGTACTTTACAGTGTATCACTTGGCTGAAAGTGGCTAATAGATTCTTTAGTGTCTGATCAAAATGAATACAAGAAGAATGTGCACTTTCATATAAAGCAAATCTATTAGCTTAATCTACGATAGATAGATGCAAACTAATGAATGAATCTATTAGGTTGAACTACTTTGCAGATATTCAACAAGCGAGCCTCACTGTCTTCTGCCCATTGGGGACTCCTGGGTGACAGCTGGAACTTGGAACTCTATCTCAGTTTCCCAGTCCAATAGTGAAAGGTCCCCAAAAGCTGGGAAAATTCCCCAATATCAATATTATTCTGAATCTCATGTTACGTGCTGTATATCCAACTCTGAGTACCTTTCGTAAGCATTCCTTTGTGAAAGTATAGGTCCAGGTGTTGCTACAAATCAGTCTGTTCCCAAGTCAAGGCGAGATCATTGCAGTTAGCTTCCAGCCAAAACAGGCTTTTTTAACACTAAGCATGTTTTTCACGTATTTTTCTTCAATTGCTTATTGCCATGTCCAATTAATCCTTAACGAGACATAATTGTTAAGCCTAATGTATCAGCTAGAAAATGTGTGGAGCTCCTGAAAAGTGCACTATAAATGTGAGTCTTTCTCTTCTATCTCTTTCACAGGGGCAGATTTTGCTGGGGGACCATGGTGCAGCTATTGATGACACAGATATACTCGGCAAGAATGGCAGGATATACTCTTTGACTGGTGTCCTAGTTCCTCCATCCATCGTCCCAATCCTTCCACACAGATGTGATGACAAAACGTATAGGGTTACTAAGGTAATAGTTGGAAATGCCAGAAGATTATTTGAAGCGTGCGCAATCACTTTCTGAAAGGTCGAGTGGGTAGTTTACGAAACAGTCGATGAGCTGTCTTTCTAGATCTGGTGACAAGGCAGAGACAGGAAGCAAAATCAACATATGCTGATCCTTTTCATCAGTTACTTCAAGGCTGAGTTTGAAACGAAAATTCTGTCTGTGTTGGCAATGCCAGGTTGAGGGATTTCCTGAACTAGGATCTCTCTCATCCCTGAACTGGGACTAAATGAGTCAAAAGAGCAGCCATGGTCACACCACCACAAAGGGTCCATGCATTGACCTTTACTTACCTGCCTGAGGTTAGAAACTGGGTCAGTAGCGATTTCCCATCACCAACACCCATACCAAGCAAGAGGTTTCTGGGACATCCTGAATCAACAGGCCTTTGCCTCTATTCCCTGCCTCCCACAATAATGTCTTCTTGAGACCCACCTAAAAAGCACAGATACCCACTAGATAGAGAGAGCTTTAACCTTTTGATGCTTTCTCTGAAGGAAAATTTTATGGCTGAGCCAATGTAACAAGACCTAGACAATAGGTAGGGCTGACAAGTGGCAACTAACATTCACAACACACAAATGCCAGACAATGACTATCGCCAATAAGAGACAATCTAACCATTGACCCTTGACAGTCAATGGCATTACCTTCACTGAATCCCTCACTATTAACATCCTTGGGGTTGCCATTGACAAGAAACTGAACTGGACTAGCCACATAAACACAGTGGCTACCAGATCAGATCAGAAGTTAGGAATACTGCAGTAAGTAACTCACCTCCTGACTCCCCAGAAGCTGCCCATTATCAACAAGGTGCAAGTCAGGAGTGTGATGGAATACCCCTCGACTCGTCTGGATGGGTGCAGCTCCAACAATGCTCAAGAAACTTGACACCATCAGGACAAAGCAGCCTACTTGATTGGTATCACATCCACAAACATTCGCTCCCTCCACCACCGATGCTCAGTAGCAGCCGTGTGTACTATCTACAAGATGCACTGCAGAAATTCACCAAGGATCCTTAGATAGCACCTACCAAACCCATAACTACCACCATCTAGAAGGACAAGAGCAGTAGATACATGGGAAAACGTCACTTGCAAGTTGTCTTCCAAACCGCTCACTATCCTGACTTGGATTTATATCACTCTCCCTTTACTGTTGCTGGGTCAAAATACTGGAATTCCCTTCCTCAGGGCCTTGTGGGTCTACCTACAGGACATGGACTACGGTGGTTTAAGAAGTCGGCTCACCCACAACTTTCTCAAGGGTAACTAGGGATAGAGAATAAATGTTGGCCTAGCCAGCGATGCCCATATCCCACGAGAGAAGAAAAAGCAAAGAGAATCACGGAATTGTTACGGTGCCCTCTCAAAAGCCTCACTTGATCCTGATTCCATTACACTGTCAGGTGCATATTCCAGACATTTGCCACTCGCTGCATCAAAAACCTTTTCCTCATGTCTCCATTGCTTCTTCACAAATTACTTTAAATCTGTCCCCTCTTGTTCTTGATCTTTTCAGCAGTGGAAATAGTTGCACTGTGACCAGACCATTCCTGAATTTGAATACTCCCACAAAATCTCCTCTCGGTTTTCCTTCTCCAAGTAAAACCATCTCAGTCCTCCAATCTATCTTTGGAAGTGAAGTTCCTCATCCTTGGAACTATTCCTGTAAATCTTTTCTACAACCTCTCCAATGCAATTTTCTGAATGTGCAGCATCCAACACTGGCCACACATTCCAGCTGAGGCCAAACTAGCATCTGAACAAGTTTAACATAACCTCTTTACTCATGTGACCCTATCAATAAAGCCTAGGATATTGTCCAATTTATTAACTGCTGTCTGCCACCATCGATGACTAATGCACACATATATACCCATGTCCTTCTGCTCTTACGTGCCCCTTAGAATCATGTCCTTTATTTCATTATGTCTCTCCATGTTTTTCCTGCCATAATGTATCACATCCCATTTCTACACACTGAACATCACCTGCCCCCTGTCCATCCAATCCACCAACTTGTTAATGTCCTTTTCAAGTTTAATGCTGTTCTCCGCACAGTTCACAATGCTTCCAAGTTTCATATTACCCACAGATTTTGAAACTATGCCCTATACTCCCACATCTCAATCATTAAAACATATCAAGAAAAGCAATACTAACTCAGTGAAACTTCTCAGTGGTTAGCACTGCTGCCTCATAGCATCAGGGACTTAGGTTTGCTTCCACCCTCAGGCGGCTGTCTATGTGGAGTTTATACGTTCTTCCTTTGTCTGTGTGGGTTTCCTACGGGTGCTCCAGTTTCCTCCCACAGTCCAAAGATGTGCAGGTTAGGTGGATTGGCCATGCTAAATTGCCCATAGAGTCCAGGGATGTGTAGGCTAGGTTGATTATCCATGGGAAATGCAGGGTTATGGGGATGGGGTGGGTCTGGTTGGGATAATCTTCGGAGAGTTGGTGTGGACTCGATGGGCTGAATGGCCTTCTTCCACACTGTAGGGATTCTATGAAGTCTTCCTCCAGTCTGAAAAATAACCATGAACCATTACTCTTTATTTGCTGTCACTAAACCAGTTTTTGAGTCCATGTTGCCTCTGTCCCTGTTATTCCATGAGCTCTGACTTCATTCTTAAGTCTGTTGTTTGACACTTTTTCAAATACCTTCAGGAAGTTGATGTCCATGGAGCTAACAATGCTCCTAGGAACAGCTTCTTCCAGAGTTGGTGGAGACAGAAATAGAACGAGGGGGCATATTTTTAAGGTGAGAGGAGAAAGATTTAAAAGGGACCTGAGGGGCAACAATGCTGTACTGTTCTATGTTCTATGATCTATTTGACAATTTCTATGATATGCAAATACATATCTATATAATATCATTGAATGGTTATTGTTTTAATTGGTTAGCCTGTTCTTCATACAAGGCCAGATTTTTAACTTTCTTCTAAACAATGTTTTATTAACAATATTTACTTGATGACAAAGCATTGATTCCAACCTTTTAGCAGAGTCATATCACAATCAACATTGATTCCAACCTTTTAGCATAGTCCTATCACATGAGGTCACAGTTCATCACGGCATACCTTAGAGGCTCATCTACAAATTCATTGAACCCTATTTCAACAGCTTCAGCACAGAAGGAGGCAATTCATCCCATCATGACTGCGTAGGCTCCCTGGAATCAGAGATCTACACTGACCCTGGCAATGGTCAGAAATGTGACGCCAGACATTTGCACAAGGAACACTCACAGCACAGTGGCATTCAGCTGTCTGCCCCAACCCAGTCCCCACTCCGCTTAGTACTCTGCTGCGTGCTCCAGCCACTGCCCCACTCTAGTCCCACTCCGCTTAGTACTCTGCTGCGTGCTCCAGCCACTGCCCCACTCTAGTCCCAATCCGTTTAGTACTCTGCTGCGTGCTCCAGTCACTGCC